ATGATGATTAAAGGAATGATGGACAAATATATTTTATTTCTGATAAGATGATGATGAATAGCATAAAATTACTGTATTAGGAAATATTTTATTTATAAATTACACGAAGAAAACTTTATTAATATGCATTACAAAAATCATAAAACTTGAAAGAAATCAATTTTTTCAAATCTCTGAATCATAATTTAAAAACTTAAAATCTCTCTAATTATGATTTTTTACAATATTCATTGTTAATGTTAATGATTAGTAAAATAGTAAGTTATTTCAATTATTTCAATTGTCAACAGTAATTACAAAAAAAAATTTCGGTTTTTTTTTATTTTGATTATGAAAAAAAGTTTTAATTTACAAAAAACTTTTTTCAAAACTGAAATGATATAAAATTTTGTCATTGCTTTTTTTTTTTGCATAATTCTTAACAAACTAAACCATTTAATAAAGCAATTATTAAACGAAATAGCGACAATAAAAATGACCAGTGACCACCACAAAAATGACCAACTTACAAAATGCTACAAGTATATATTTTTAAATTAAGACTGAAAAAAAAGAACATTTTAATTCAATGAATAATTAATTTACGGATTAATAATCATTCGAACATTTCAACAAAGTTTTAATTTCCTAAAACAATATGTATTAGCGATTAGTAGCGTAAAACTGTATTATTAATAAATTTAAAAAAAAAAAACTTTTACCTCTAATGTAGTATCTAAAATTTTGCAATAATTTGCAGTTACTTGATCAATTCGTGCTTGAAATTTTTCATATTTATCAGCTAATGAATTAGCTTTTAGTAGTATCCTTAACTGTTCCAATTTTCGTCGTTCACGATTATCATTTATCATTTTTCGTTTTGCTATTCGTTCCGTTTCATTTAATACCACTAAAAAAAAAAAAAAAAAACAAAGAAAAAAAAAGTGGAGAAAACAAAAAAGGCAAAAGTATAATTTTATTCATTCAAATTTAAAATAAATGATATATTGAATAGTTTTGCAAAAAAAAAAAAAAAAAAAAGTAAAATGTAAAATTTTGTAAATTACAAATTATCAAAGATACTCGAACAAACATAATACATTTAAATACTTTTAACTTCTAAGATTAATCGAAAAAAAAATCTGAAGAAAAAATCGATATAATCGATCTGTGAAAATAATATTACAAAGTGATGTAATGAAACAAAAAGAAGAAAAAGCAACACTATTATTTTATGATAATTTAAATGAGTGTAAATTTAATTTATTCCATTTAAAATGAATTTTAATTCAATTCGACTTAAATAAAACTGCTTTATTTGTTTAATTAAATTTAAATACTTAATATTAATATTAATTTTAATACGAACAAGATTTCGTCATTCCATTTTGTATGCATTTTTGAAATCGACAAAATTGGCAAATATTTCGTGAAGTTTTACTGATTTCACATCGTTCATTGCTTTTGCATTTGTAAACAATTTTTTGCTGCAAAAATGATTAACATTTTATATTTATTAATATTTTATAAATCATTACGATTAATTGTAATTAAATTTATTGTAATTATTATTTTACAGTTAATTATTTCGATTTGATCATGGAAAATGTTGCAACGGCTATTTGAAAAAATTATTTCAAACTTGAAAATTCTTAAATAAAATTTCTAAATTTCACTTTTGTGCTTTGTTAGAATTTCTTTACAAACAGCATTTAATTCATTAGATTTTTTTCCCGTTTTTTGATTTCTTTTATGTATTTAAATAAAAGATATTTTAATTATTTAATTACTCTAATTTGCATTTTTTTTCGCCATTTTACACACAATTTGATATGACATGTGAAATATTTTATTGTCAATTATTTCGAATCAATTAACAGAAATATTGTAATAACTACGAAAATAGTTGAGGATAATGATTAATGAATTAATCCAAAGTAGCTCGTAGTGAATTGATAATGAAAAATAATTAACAATGATAAACTATTAATGGCAGTACAGCAACCAATATCATATCACTTTGTTATGCACAATTATATCTGGTATATCATTAAACTGGAATTAATAATAATCGAACAAAATATTTGAAATAAATTTATTGAATTATCATCATTTATTTGCTTGAATTATTTGGTTTAATAATGTTTAATTAATGTAATATTTGAACAATTAAATATTTGATACTTATATATTTAACAAATTTTTACAATCATAATTTTTATCACTTACCTGAATTGTTCGTCGAAAGAAACCCTTGCAACCTTCACATGTTATCGCTCTTAAATAAATATCATTCAATTTTCTTTTTTATTAGAATTTTCAGTTTGCTTATTAAAATTTCTGAAATTTCTTCCACTTTTTTTAATTAATATTTTTAAAATTGGAATAATAAGGAATGGATAATTTTTATCATTTATTGATGCAAATAATAAATAAGTGTTAAAATATGTCACCTATAATGTAAGCCGGTAGCATCATCACCGCATACAATACAAGGTTGACCTGGTTTCATATAACGTGGTAAATATGGTATTGCTGAAATTATTTTAAATGTTTATATCATTTGTAGTAATCATAAATTTTCATATTCATATTCAAATTAGGTCATATTAGCCTGATTATTTTTTTGATAATACAAATAAAAGATCCATATTAGGCCATATTAGTCTGATTATTTTTTTGATAATATAAATAAAAGATATTAATTAGTTTCAAATAACTTTAGCAGGAATGTATAATTACTATTTTTACTTATAACTTAATGAATCAACTAATTATTAAGTTTTAACTTTTTACACCTTAATTTTCGTATCATTTATCATTTCCAATGTTTTTTTTCTTTGTCGAATATTTTCATCTGCCAAGTCAAATCAATGTAAAAATTTTGTTAATTCTTATCTTTTAATTCCCAATAATTTACTATATTGTATTACTGGAAATTGTTTATTATTGAAAGTTATTTATTTTGTATTATTATTGAAAATATTGAATTATTGAAATATTGAAAATTTACCGAAAATTATTGAAATTATTGGTTTACTGAAAATTATTAAAAATTCATTGAAAATTTATTTATTGAAAATTATTTATTTTATAAACTTTTTAATTTTATTTATTTATTTTATCTTTTTATATTTATTTTTGATAAAATGTTTTTGATTTTTTATATTTATTTTAAAATTTGGTAAAATTAAGTAAAAAAATAAGATAAATAAGAATAATTCATAAATTAGTGAATAAATTTGTTCATATATTAATGCATTATTAATTTTGTGCAACAGCAATGGTATACGGTATCATTTTTGAGGAAATAAATAATGAGAAGATTTATAGGAATGCTTAATGCAACCGATAATTTTCTAATTCGAATGACCTGAACTCATTTCTATGCTATGCAAATGACGCAATACTATGACCTTAATTCCTATCCAATGATCAACTCATCTTCAATATATTTGAATCATAGATAAGAGATGAGAAATGAAATAATTTTTTTTTTGAATATTTTCGATTTATTAACCAAAAATTAATGATTCATTTATTAGTTATAATTACAGATTAATTACCTTTGAATACTCAGTCCAAAAAAAAAAATGAAAAATTGAAAAAGAAATGAATTAAATAAAGAAACTTAGTTCTTTTCTTTTTTCTTTATCCTTAAAGATGAATTTAATTATTGTATGATTTCGAATTTGAATAAAAATAATTTATATCCATAATTTGTTTATTATTCCTGAAATGATTATAGTTATTTAAGAAATTTTCAACAATTTTTTAATCGTTACGATGTTTACTTTTTTTATGATAAATATAAAATATGTTAAATTTAATAATTCTTATTAAATGGCAATAACAAATGATGAACTAATTTGCGCAAATATTGTTGATAATAGTTAAATCATTGGTAGTTGTTAATCATTAATTATCGATAAATATTAATGATTATTAATTAACCGTTGATAATTAACACTGTTGATTATTGATAATTAATAGTAAAAATTAGTGAAATATTTGAAAAATCCAGCTAAATTTTTTCCATTAACTCTTTTTTTTACTTCGTACTTTGAATAGAGTAAAAAAAAGGATACAAAAAATACGACATGCTATTTGCTATAATTTTGTCACAATTTTATTAATATTCAAATTAGAAAGTACCAAAATTATTTCAGATAAATAAGTAAAATAGCTATAATTAAAGCAACAAAGAAAAAAAGAAAGAAGAAAAAGACAAAAATTTAAATTTTGCCAATTTTGAAGTACTTAATTTATTTTAAAATTCAAGTACTTACTAGGATTGATCCAAATTTTATTTAAATTTAAATGATTTTATTGTCATAACATACTTCAATTATTTTATATCTTTTGTTAAAAATTTATTGCATACAATATGATTGAAAATTAATATGAAATTGTGAAATTAATATAAAATTTTGAAGATATATTTCAAAAATTTGTCCAAATTTAAAATATTTTTATAATTATTTAATAAAAAAATTATAAGAAATGATCAATGAATGATAATTATCTTAAAAGAAATTACATTTACAATCGACATTGTAAAATTACCCAAAATTTCGGTACATGAAAGCTTTTCGGTATTGGTTACCGAAAAACATATCAGATGTCATAGATAGACATTTACAGTATGACTTCAAAAAAAAAAAAAAGAAAAAAGGAAAACTCTTCACAGTATAATTTATTATTGTACTCAACCAACTGCTCTGATATGCATTAAATATTACTGATGATGATAGTATTTGAATTTTCTACAATTGATAATATCAATTAATTGATAAAAATAATGGAAAAAAATTGAAATTAATATTTTTGTCATATTTTCAAATTCATTTTATAATTTCATTTGTTTTTTCAAATTCATTTTGTAATTTGAGTAATGATCAGATTTAATTTGAATTTAACTTAATATAACTAATTGTGACTTTTTTTTTTGCTCGATTTTATTGCATATTGATTGAAATTCAAAGTACTGATTTTTAAATTTCGACTAATACTATTGGATATGAGCAAGTTTGTAAGAAATTAAAAAATTGTAATTCAATTAAAGAATTAAAATTTCACTTGAAATCTAACAAATTTATTTTAAAACAAAATAATTGCTTAGGAATAACGTTGCAAATCATTGAAGGAATATGAATAGTACTGGAATAATTAAAATAATCGAATAGCATTAACATTGAAGCCACGCGGATGCATACTGTATTTGATAATACTTGATGCATACTATTGAATGAATTTTAGTAATTCTTCAGTTAATTGAATTAAGTTTAATTATTCGAATTATACTTGAATAATTCAAAATAATCAAATAACGCAAATATTGAATCCACGTGAATATTCCATGAAAAATCATCGAATAACGTGAACGTTGTTGAATCCACGTGGATATTTTTACTAACCTTTATTGCGTGATCGTATATGATAACGTTGATCATTCGTCGTTGATTCCATCACTTCCATTTTTGATTACGATATTCACTTGGCTGAAATGAGCTTTCATTCACCTCGGAAAGCTAATTTCGAGAGAAATACATATAAACCACGCCCTTAGTTTTAGTTTAAAAAAAAAAAAAACAAATCGGGAAGATTCTCGGGATAACATCATTGAGGTCAACATTGCGTAAGCTTACTGCACCTGTAAATATATCTTTCCCTAACCCATCCTCCCATCCAAAAATGGATATCACGCAATACGGTGGTGGTATTCTAGTGGAATGAATAAAATCAAATGTCATATCCTCCTCTAATGGCTACTGCGCATTTCTGTCTTTTTTTTTCCGGTGGAAGAGGTAACTGAAGATAAGAAGAGTGAAGATGAGAATGATGGCGCAATCGTCACCAAACGTTTTCATCTGGCTTTTAGGTCAACGATTATGAATGTTGGTAAAGTAATTTGAATATTCATTTTATGTCTTTCTCCTTTTCTTCTTTCTTTCTCTTATTTTTTTATTTTTTAAATTTTGATAATATTCTATAATTAAAATTTCTTTAACAGTTAGGAATAATCAAATTATTTACTTTTTTTTTTTGGAAAACGAATTTTAAATTAAAATCGGGCAACATTAATTTTTTTTAATGAATTTTTTGATTTAAATTAAAAATCGTTGAAGAAATTTTATTTTTTTTTAAACAATGGAAAAATAAATTAAATAAAATTTGCTTAATCGAAAATCAATGCCAAATATTTGACCTAAATGAAAAGTATCGTTGTAAGTAAAGTATTGAAAAATATCATTCGTTATCATTGTTAAACCAATTGAATCATTTGTAAAAGCAATGAAAACGAATAATAAATTATCGTTGAAAAATATTAAAAATTAACATTTTTTTACTGAAAAATTAAAATTAAGGAATATTTAAAATATAAAAATGTTAAAAATTGAAAATTTGCTATCACTTGAAAGTGCGGAATAGTTATGCTATCACTATAAAAGACTAATCATCATAAAACAATGAAAGTGAATATTGAATATTCCTTATCATTTTAAAATACCAAAACGTCAAGCTGTCATCATAAGAGACAAATTATTATAAAGCAATCAAAATGATTGATCATTATCGTTAAAAATATCAAAAATTGACACTTTTTTATTGAAAAATCAAAATTGAAAAATATTAAAAATACAGAAATACTGAAAATTAAAAATTCTTTATCACTTGAAAGTGCGGAATAGTTATGCTATCATCATGAAAGACTGATCATCATAAAATAATGACAATGAATATTCCTTATCATTTTAAAATATCAAATCGTTATGCTATTATTACAAAACAATAAATCATCAAAAAGCAATAAAACGAAACATTCATAATTATTTAAAATCATTATTATCAAACAATCAATTACCAATCAGAAACACTTATCATTTGAATTGTTGTAAAACAAATCGTTATCATAAAATTATTGCTTAGTGATATTGTTCAGAAAATGAGACTGAAAATGGAAAAGTTAATAAATTTAATCTGTTCTTTAATTAATTTCTTCATTCAATTATTACTCCTTAATATTGTTTACAAATCATTGATATGATCTGTTTAGAAAAAAATTCCATAATGAATGGATAAAAAAACAAATAAATAAATTGATAAGATTAATTAAAGTCATTGAAGTTTTTTATTTTTCTATTTTTTCATAAGGTCAACTGTCATTGTTGAATGTACAAATTTAGGAAGGTTGAAAAGTTGAAAAAAGTTGTAATTATTGAATATATAATTTGTTTTATTCAAATTTATTTATTAATGAAAAAGGAAATGAATAGAGGATAAAAAATAATTCACACAGGATAATTCAAAGATGAAAATTTAAATTTTATAATTCTTTTCATTCTTATAAATTTGAACAGAAAAACAATAAACGAAATAAATTATAAACAACTTTTTTTTTTTTAAATGACATTTTTTATGAGGAGAATTTATTGGAATAAAATAATTATTATTAATATATTAGATACTAAATAATGTAACCTTTGGCATTTATTACAAATCTTCCAGTACTATTAACTATTTTCAATTTTATC